ATCTCCTCACGCCACACTTAAAATTATGCATTGTCCCAATGCACATCATAACTATAAGAGGGTAAAAGAAACTCCCTGGTAGGCCAAAGGCCGAAGCACTAGCAGCTCATGGGGTACTCAGACTTCTCCCAGGCTTGGTCCTTCGTGCGGGTACCTCACACTTAGTTCCAACCATTTGGTTTGCTGTTGCATCCTCCCAATAGCTTTGCTTTCCATGCTCCTAGAAAATCAAAAATCAACACAAAAAAAATAATATAATAAAAAATAAATAAATAAAATAAACTAAATTAAAAATATAAAAAAATAAAGCTGGGTTGCCTCCCCACAAGCGCTTGATTTAACGTCGCGGCACGACGTGAATCACTTTTTGCCTCCATTTCGAGCTTATGAATTGAACCCCAAGTTTTGATTCAAGCTTATGATTATGGTCATGGGGCGGTGGAACGAATCTAACTGGCCCAAGGAAATAATGTAGTATTCTGCATTCCTTGGCCTTTTATGAGGTATGTAATCCTGACTTTCTGGCAAGAAGAATTTCAGAATATATGCACCTTGTTCCTCATTCTTTGACTCTTCAATTGGTTCGGATGACTCTATTTCCATATCATCATCCAAACATAATGTGGAAAAATGCTTGGAGTGTGGACCAATGCGCTCAAACACATGAACTTCAGGACTTTCAACATCCTCAACATCAGTGATACTAGATTCAACAAAATTTATATCCTAAAGTCCTTGGCTGGCTCTAGTCTCACTTCTTCAACATTGACATCCTCAAATTGTAGTTGTCTAGGTTGTTGATGTTCTACTCTGACCTCCCCAATTAAAACCTCAAATTCATGCTCTTCTTGGCTACTATCATCAATATTGGCTTGTTGAGCATTAAAAGCTCCAACCACTTGACTCAATTAAGCCTCCAACTTGCGAATAGTTGCCTCTTGCCTTTCTATCTGCAATTGTTTTTCATTATTTTGTTTCAGAAAGCACTTTAACATATCATTGATCTCCTTCAGGTCTGCATCCTCAGGTTCTTTGTTCCTGTTAACTTCACAAGAAAAGGTAGAACCATCATAATAAGGGGTTGGGGGAAGATAAGAAATATAAGCACAACCATAAAAGTGACCATTTTTACCACCACACACATTCCACAAATAAGATTGAGTTGGTGCACATAACTCGCTCTCAGAAACGTTTTGAAAATTTTGCCAAGGGTGGTTTCCTTCACAATATGTATGGAGATCAATAGTAGAATTATCCACACCTAAATTTCCCTAATTCCAAGATGTCGTGTTTCTCAAATCAACAGTTATAAAAAAATACCAAAAAACAAAACAAAATAAAAGTTCAAACTTGAACCTAGCAATATATACAGCTACAACTACACCGTTAGTTCCCCGGCAACGGCGCCAAAATTTGATCACGCCCAACTCTAGTCCTAAAAAGGATAAGTGGTCGCTGCAAATATAATCCGGTCTAAAAGTCCGGAGTCGAATCCCACAGAGAACTAAGGCTTAGCTATATCTGTTTAATATTACTAAAAAGACAAGTTTGAACAATTTTCTAAATTATAAAGATTGATATTTATATTTCTAACTAATTAACTAGCAAATACTAGAAAGCGGTAAAATTATCAATTAACGAGACAAAGGGTTGGAGACTAAATTAAGGAGGTCTAGAGTTATGATTTCCTCAATTGTCGGAATCCTTCTAGCTATGTCTTCTATAATTTCGCCTAAGTATTCTCTGCCGATCGTGAGTACTCTGAGTGTCGTAGCTCTCTCTCTCGAGCAACTACCACAATTTACTAGATGTATTCTCTCGAACTACACTAGCTAGCACTAATTCACCGCTTACTATGATCGCACTAAGGGTTTGTTATCTATAATCCCGCCTTTAAACCCTCCGTATTGATCTCTCACATACGTTAGGAGTGATGTTATTCAACAACTACCTAAATATGTACTCTCTCTCGAGCAGTACACATTAAATAGGCATAGTCAATTGATGGCCATTCAGCCAACAACAACAAACACGTACTTGAACAAGTAGAGAAATCCAACGGCTCAATTATATAAAAACATAACAAGAATTCATCCTACAAAAGGTTTCATCAAAACCCTAGATAACAAATTAGTTATTCATCAAAGTATATGAAAACACAATACTCAAATTCATGACCAACAATAAAAACAGGAAGAAGAAGGGGAAAAACTCGTAGTTGAATCTTCCTCCTTGCTCCTAGTGTGTTCTTGCCTCCTTAGGTCTTCTCTTCTCCCAAAGTGGTGTTTTAGGATGTATTTATATGACCTAGGGTTGATGAGGGCAGAAGTCTTCAATCCAACTTCGGATGGGAGAGCTGGAATCCGCGCCTGCCTTCGCGTCTAGACGCGAACTTTGACGCGGATCCAGCTTTTGAGCTTCTTCTATTTCGCGAAGCGCTTCGTGCCTCTGCTTCGCTTCGCTGTTTTGTGCCTTAACTTTTCTCCTTTTTCGCGTCCGACTTCGTGTCACGCACGAGAATAGACGAGCTCTCAATCCTTTAGTTTCTTCTTTTTGTGTCGAATTGTCATCTTTTGATCATTTATCATCCAAACTCATTCATTAACATCTACATAGCTCGGAATCACTCCTACAAGGCATAGAACACACAATTAGTGCAAAACACTAACGATTAAACGCAAACTCAACTAAAGTGCAGTAAATTTGAGTGTAATAAGCGACTAAAATACATAATTATAGCCTATCATCAGTGGCCTACAGGCTTGCCTTGCCACCTAGTTTATCAGCAGTCCATCCGGTGTTCCATGTCTCCATGCTCCGGAAGTATCACGGTGACCCTCTAGCCGGCTCTAACAATAGTCATTGCTTCGGCATGACCGTTTCTCGTTTTTTGGCGTTTTATTACCAAAAAATGAATCAGGACGATTCCATATTTTCGTGTGCTATAGTCCACGCCATCTGCATGAATTCAGGCGACCGGCTCCGAATCGCGTAAAATTTTGCGGACCCATAAAAAAGAACCTAATGAATAAAGTCATTGCTTCGGCATGGCTGTTCCTCGTTTTTGGCCTTTTTGGGGCCAAAAAATAGAAATTCAGGATGATTTTCTTATTTTCGTGTACTATAGTCCAGGCCATCTGTATGAATTCGGGAGACCTGCTCCGAATCGCCTAAAATTTTGCAGGCCCATAAAAAAACGACCTAATGAATAGTAGTCATCGTTGTTAGAGCTTTTGTGCTGAGTATGATAAAAATGTTCCACGTTGTAGGCAAGGATGGCATGTCTCATATGATGAATTGTTCACATTATATAGTCAGATGTGATCACTTCTAATTCAACTACATTTAGATGCAAAATTTGTTTCAAATTCCCAAGGAATGCGATGACATACATGAAATCTAGTACAGATACCTCGAGCAGCAATAAGAGACACATTTTTGTTGAGTTGAGGTGTCTATTTGATCACTAGCTAAGTTAGAATGTCTATAAACTAAAATAGTATCAAAAGCAGGACCTACAAGTGGCCAACCTATAGCTATTTTCCTTATTCGTTGCAAGTTGATTGAGCGTTCAATCAACTTCAAGCTGCGATAGTACGTCCTATACATAATTGGTTAACGACGATTTTCAACATCTTTAAGATCTCAAAACTTACTAACCAAATTTAATCAAAAATAAAAACTTCGAATACTTTTCTTAGAAATGTATTACTATTATTTTATGCATACATCATATAATTAATTTCTCACAACTATTTATTTAAAATATTCCAAAGCTCACAATCATAATTATAAATTATGTTTTTTCATAAAAGTTAGGTTTTGGTTGGTGGACTAGTGCGGTCCATCTGCTTCTAGTGTGTCTTCCACTATCAAATAAAGCAACCAAAAAAAGCACTATAAGATCTGCTACAAGTAATAGAACCAAGAATACTATCCAGACAAAACCAAAAATGGAAGCTGCAATTTTCACAAAAATCCTCTATTTTTTCACTCTTTTTCTTTCCCTTTTATTTATAATCACTTCCGTAACTAGCCAATCACCATGCAATGGTACAATAGCCGAGTGTAATGAAGAGTTGGAGATTTTAATGGAGTCTGATATTAGCAGAAGATTTCTTGAAGAAAGAAAAAAGTATATTTCTCCTGGAGCTTTAAAAAGAGATCAGCCGGTTTGTAACGGCGGCGGTGGCGGCGAACCGTATTCCCGCAGCTGCCTTCCGCCACCGTCAAATCCTTATAATAGAGGTTGTTCTAAGTATTACCGTTGTAGAGGTGATCAATGATATAAAACAAAAGGTGATTTTGAATTTTATGTTTTTTTCATCTTTCTACTTATGATGTTGTGTTCATGTAGTTGTGATTTATGGATGAAATTGTTTCTTTCAATGCTAGCTATTGATGTTATTTTTTTTAAATAATTATGACGTTCGAACTAGCTTGCACGATCTAGCTACTAATATTAACGTTGATATTTCTTTATGTACTTAATTATACTTGCTAATAGTTAAATTGAATAACAATAAGCAATCTAGGATATTTCGCAGAATTTATAATTTTTGATAGATTTTGTAATTTTAGAAACTTCAAGGAGGTTTCACATCCGCTTCTTTATTGCAATATGATCGAGGGGGAAACAAAAAAAATCATGAAATGTGTTTAGTACAGCAGAAATTATTTTTAATGCCGTAAAGGTTTTTCGAGAATATAAATTCTATGAAAAATACGTTTAGAAAATGATATGGCGTTTGATTGGTGAGCGAATTTCTTTATTTAAAATATCTATTGAATATTAATAATTATATTTGCAAATCCGGTAGTGTAACGATAAAAAATTTAGTATTAGAGAGATTATAAAAATATTTAAGTGCAAGTTTGAGCAATGATGCAAAATTAAATATTAAGATTATCGTTTTTTTCCTATAAGATAATCTACCAATTTGGCAACTTTCTTTTTCTGAAAACAACACACGGATATATTATATTACTTAAAGCAAAAACTACATAGGCATAGTAAGTGTTTTTAGGGCATTACTGTTGCCCATAGTTGCCAAATAGTTACAAACACTAGTAGAAATATTCTTAACACTATTAAAAACACCATGCTTGTTCTTGATCACTTCTTGTTCGACGAAAAAGGGTAGACAGGCATGGAAAAAACACTTTGTAGATGGTGGGCTCTTTATAGCTTGCTTGGCCAGCATATGTGCCACCTCATTTCCTTCCGTGAAATATGCTTCAGGAGTGGGAGCTTCAACTGGTGCATTAACCATTTGCATTCAGAAACAATGTTAGAGAAGTTATAGCTATCCTCATATATAAGTTTGATGACATCAATACAGTCAGTTTCAATTTCCAGATTTAGGAAGTTCATTTCTTTTGCAATTTTCAATCCTTCTAGCAATGCCGTCAACTCTGCATGTGTAGGAGAAATTGCTTGGCTTGCTTTGTGGAATCCCACAATCCAATCTCCATTACTATTTTGAAATGCACCACCAAGCCCAACTGCATTATCGCTACTAGAAAAAGCACCATCACAATTTAATTTTATCATACCTTTAAGAGGTTTGTTCCAACTGATCTAAATTGTGATTGTTTCACAAAGGGATTTTTCTCTGTGAAAAAAATAAACTCCCATGCTAGATGTATAATTTTTTCTATTTCCAGATAATTATTAAGGTTGTTAATATTATTATGATTCCTGTTCATCCATAATTCTCATATGGAGAAAGGAAATAAAGTAACCCAATTTATCTGGAGATTACAGTTTTGAATAAAGATATCCCCCAACTTCACTAGCCAATTTGTGTCACTAATAATGTTTATAGAGGGAAGACCATTTTTTTCCAAAGACGGTTAGAGACTGGACAATTAACAAAAATGTGTTGGATGTCTTCTACCCCAGTTTTTTAAATGGTACAGTGGCATCAATATTAATTCCTATTTTAGCTAGATAGGCTCGGCAAGGAATACGATTGTGCAGCATTGCCTGTAAGGCCCCGTGAAATTTTTACTTAAAAAAAAAAACCCGAGATCTTGTAGTGCCAGCCGCGGTTCGGACCCTTTGGAATGAGTTGTGCATTAAAAAGTTAAGGAATAATATTTCTCCAGAAAAGTGCATTTCTGCGGTCCATTATATGATCGCATAATGCCTATGCGAACCGCATAGTCGCCGCAGAGTCAGACAGTGTGTTGGTTAATTTTGAGGTCAACTATGCGTCCAAATTATGCGATCGCATAATCAATATGCGGGCCGCATAGTCATCGCATAATTCCCTTGGCATTTTTGCGAGGGACAGTTCTGCGGTGCATTATGCGACCGCAGAACAGGTATGCAGACCGCATTCTTGTCGCATACCCGGGCAGTTTGTTCAGGTTTTGGGGATCATTTTTGCGGTCCCTTTTGCGGGCCGCATGTCCGTTATGCAATCGCATATGCGATTGCAGATTTTGTCGGGGCTCCTATTTATTAACTTTTAAAACCCGACCCGTTCCATTAAAAACACCCCCTTAGACCCCTTTTATGCGATTTTCCTGAAAATAGAGTGAGAGAGGAAGTTCTAGAGAGAGGGAGGGTGGTCTTCATCAAGTCCCCATTTGATATTTGCCTAAGCCCTTGAAGATTATCAAGTAAAAAATTGCTAGGTCTTCATCCTAAGAGGTAAGAACTTGTGCCCTAATCTATAATTTCGAAATTCTACTAAAATAAGTGATCACGGGTGAGTTCGTGGGTATAGGAATTAACTATCATGCATGCATGAGTGACAATGGGGTATGGGAGGATTGTGAGTTAAAAAGATGGCAATTTGGGTGGAAGGTGATAAAAATCTCTCAAAAGGGTTCCTAAAACGACAATGCACACCTAGCGCTTGACAATATGCTCAAATGAGCTAGAATCATAATCATGTCTCTAATTCTTGGCTTAATATATAATTCTCATAAAATAGATCAAAGTTGCTAGGAAATTCCGAAATTTATTGTAAGGATTTAAGGGAAGTGTTGGCCCAAGTTCAGATGAAATTTTGAAGATTGACAAAATGAACTCAGCCATGAACCAGGTCCATCATGTGAGACACAGTGTTGATATGCTTACACATGTGACATACGTGTGAAGAAGATAAGTCTCAAGGATCAGCAACAATATCTTCTGAGTTGATCGAAAAGGTTGTATAGGATAAGGAGTTGAAGTCTCCTTATGTAAAGAGAACTACATCCTGTTCTAGGACTCGAATTTGATGAAGGATCAGCAATTCGATTTTTAATAAAACTCTGATTACTAACTCTATAAATAATAAAGATTGTTCTCTTTTACAGGTGATTACACATACGCAGAAGTTAAACTAAATTGAGAGCAAAAGAGCTAGGCGAATTTTGCAAGCAATTTATGTGTGATTCAAGTGTGCAAATCTGAAGCTACATGAACCAAGAGTGAAGAACCAATTCCATTGTGTTTTTCTTTATTTCTAGTTCAATTGTAGTAGGTGTTTCATATTGTACCTTTCAGCTTTATCTAGAAGCAATTGTAATAGGTATATTGAGTATTCAAGTAAGAGTTAACTTGAAGGTGTCGCAACAGTTGAGGTTGTGTGCTACACTGGGATTAGAGTTTAATCCTTAGGTTTACAAGAGTTTGTTAATGCTGTTTTTGGCTTAGTAATTTTAGTGGAAGTTTGGGAAAATCCTACTGAGTAGTAGGTCGTGGTTTTTTCACCTTTTGAGCCAGGTGTTTTCCACGTAAAAATCTTTGTGTTCTTTACTTTATGCACTCTTAATTCCGCAAACAGTCATAGTAAGTACATCTAGAAGAACCAGGTTCTTCTAGTGCGAAAATTAGGTACCACACAAATCACCCCCCCTCTTGTGTGGTATTGACGTTTAGACCATCAATTGGTATCAGAGCGGGTTATCCTTGAAGAGGCTAACACCTTAGGAGAAGATCAACAATGAGTGTACCACCTGGGAACTGGGAAGGGCAATCCACTGCCAGGCCTCCACTTTTCAATGGTCAGTACTATTCTTGGTGGAAGAACAGAATGAGAGATCACAATATAGGGGAAGATTATGAACTTTGGGACATAGTCACTGATGGTCCCCTAGCAACCACTAAGAAGAATGCTGAAGGAATTGATGTGCCAAAAACAAGGACTGATTGTACTGCTGAGGACCTGAGGAAATGGGAGAAAAATGCTAAGGCCAAGAAGTGGCTTGTATGTGGACTAGGACCAGATGAGTACAACAGGATCCAAAGCTGTACAACTGCTAAGGAAATATAGGACACTCTACAAGTGGTTCATGAAGGAACACCTCAAGTGAACAAGAGGAACACTTCTGTATTCTCAATATGAGAATTTCACTATGAAGGAAGGAGAAACTATCCAGGAGATGTATACTAGATTCACCACCTTGACAAATGAATTTGAATCTCCTGGAAGGACTATCCTTGAAGAAGATAAGGTTGAGAAGATTCTGACAAGAGTTCTGCCAGTCACATGGGAAAGCAAGATCACTGCCATTCAGGAATCTAAGAACATTGCTACCCTCAGACTGGATGAACTAATTGGAAATTTAACTGCCTATGAAATGAGGAGACAAACCATGAAGATGGACACCCTCAAAAAGGAGAGAAACTTAGCTCTCAGAATTGCTGAAGGTGCAGATTTGGAAGATGATGAAGTGGCTATGATCACTAGGGATTTCAAGAAGTACCTGATGAGAGGAAAGGGTTCTTCAAGAGGTACAAACTTCAACATATCAAGAGCTCCGGAGAAACAGACCAATAAGGGATGCTACAAGTGTGGTAAGACTGACCACATGATAAAAAACTGCCCTCAATGGGAAATTGAGTGGAAGAAAGAAAGAGCTGAACGAAGGAACAGGAAGAAGGAACAGGTTCAAGGAACAGGTTCAACCAAAGAGAAACAAAGGTTCAACCAAGGCTATGGTTGCTACTTGGGGAGAAACTTTAGATGAAGACTCAGAAGATGAAGCTGAGGAGGAGCAAGCACTGATGGCCATTGGAGAATCAGATGATGAACAAGAGGTAAGTATTCTTTATCTCAAAGACAAGATTAAATTCTTATCTAAAGAAAGGCTGGCTGAGCTATTAACAGACTTCATTGATGAGTCTGAGATAATTAATAATGAGAAGGAAGTTCTGTCTAGGGAATGTGTGATTCTAAAAGCAAAATGTAAAAGTCTAGAGTCTAGGGCCAATGAGAGTGATAGCAAAAATGCTGAGTTGAAGAACCAGGTTCTTGAACTTGACAACGGTGTCCTAGAACTTAGGTCTGAAAATCTGAAACTAAAATTAGGAACAGGAAAGAAGATATCTGATCACACATGTCTCACTCCAGAAGAAAATTTGGGAAAAATGAAAGATGAATTATACAGGAAAGATGAATTCATCAAAGTCTTAAAAGAAGATCTAGGAAAGGTAAAATATGAACTAGACAGAACTTGCAAGTGGAACAAAGCCTCTGATGCTCTCTCTTGGTTGCAAGAGCATCACAGCAGTAACAAAAGAGGACTTGGCTATGGGACTCAAGCTCCTAAATAGGATCCAAAAAGCAAGTACCTCACTCTTCCTGAAAATAAAATATGCACACACTGTGGTAAGACTGGCCATTACAAATATGAATGTAATGCAAAAGATATGGCCAGTCAAAAGAATAAAGTTTTTGTTAAAGAAAGAATAAGTTGCCAGGATGGGCAAGAAGGAATTTAATTCATCCTTTTGCTTATAGAAAGGGACCCAAACTAGTTTGGGTTCCTAAGACTAACCCCTGATTTCCTTTTGCAGGTCCAAGTGAAAGGGAGGAGCCAAATATGGTATATAGATAGTGGCTGCTCAAAACATATGACTGGGGACAAGGACCAGTTCCTTTCACTTGAGGACCTAAAAGGAGGTAATGTCTCCTTTGGTAATGGAAAGAAAGGTGAGATCATTGGGGTTGGAAAGGTAGGCAAGACTGATTCTCATTCCATAGAGAATGTCTACCTGATAGATGGCTTGAAATATAGCTTAATAAGTGTGTCACAATTGTGTGATAGAGGTAACCTTGTGGCTTTTACCTCCACCAAATGCTTTGTGATTAACCTTACTACTGACAAGATTGTTTTGTAGGGAAAAAAAGTTAACAATATTTACATTGTAGATTTGTCAACTCTTTCAGAAAATGAACTCACTTGCTTAAGTGTGTTAGTTAATGATCCCCTCCTATGGCACAAAAGACTTGGTCATGCCAGTCTAAATCAGCTAAACAAATTAGTCTCTAAAGACTTGGTTATAGGTTTACCTAATATCAAATTCAAAGAAGACAAAGTTTGTGAGGCATGTGCAAGGGGGAAGCAGGTAAGGTCATCCTTCAAATCCAAGAAAATGGTAAGTAAGTCTAAGATGTTGGAACTGGTTCATGTGGATCTATGTGGTCCAATGAGAACCATGAGCAAAGATCGAAAGAAGTATGTAATGGTGCTAGTTGATGACTATTCTAGATTCACCTGGGTTTTATTTCTAACTTCCAAAGATGAAGCATTTGACATGTTTTCTGCATT